TTTTCAAAGTTAAATTAAGTCTGCCTTTAACATAGTCTTTAAAATGGCTTTACTAATAATATGACAAAGGAGAGAAACAAGATTATAAGTAAACAGACTGTATAAAATCAGTACAGTCGTCTCTGAAGTCTCATCCTTTGAGGAAATCCCTGTATATTATTTATTTACCCTTAGCCTATATAGTATTACAGGGTGCACTCATTCAGCCAGACAAAAGAGAGTTCACTGCGTACATATTGAGTTCAATATATGTAAACAAACCCAACAATAGAACTTGTGTAAGGGGATGGGGGAAGAGCAAACATCCATGGTAACCATATGAGAAGACAGTATGTGTGTGTGAAAACCTTTCAGAATTTGTAACGGTTATCACGCTGAACAAAATTAAATTGAATGTAAGATTGAAATATGTTTTTTATCATAACTCCTTTTATTGAACGGCTATGGGAAATAACAAAAATGTTTTAAATTTCTAATATTTGACCCATTAAATTTTTTTTTTTTATACTTCAAAACTAGAGAAGGTACGAGGTCTCAAAATCGTACAAAGCAATGTCGCCTTTTAACCTTATGCCATGTTTGCAGTTTTATGGCTTTTAATAATACATTTGCTTTGTAAATATATATGTTGTCTATAGCCGGCAAAATGGCTGGACCGATTGGGCTAAACTTTTTTGAGGACACTCAGGGGTGGCCTGAGCCCGCGATTTAAAAGCTTCGGCTCGAGCCGTAATTCCTTAAACCCGACTGTAAGACCCAATCTTCGACCCAACTCTGACGACAGCTTGTGTCACGTGATTGACAGCTGCGAAATCTTAGGCTCGACTTAAGGAGTTAGGCCCAATGAAAATAAAACCTACCTTGGTTGGTTTTAGTGAAGAATAAGGCTCAATGTTGGGTCTTATTCTCATCAAAACCCGGAATGCGCCAATTCAAAGTATGAAAATCCTCTAACTACAACATTAAACCGGTTTAATGAACTAAACTCTGTTAAAAATTAGATGCAACTTAAATCCGAAAGCCCGAGCCGTAAATAAGGCTCAACGACAGCTTAGACCCGAGTCGTATTTTATTGAATTTTTTAAATCGCCGGCTCTGGTGGTGTTATAGGCTAAAAAAATCGATTTTTTAAAAAGAATTTTTTTCTTTCTTTTACAAAAAATTTTCCACGGGCAACGCCGGGTCCTTCAGCTAGTTATCTATAGGATAAAACAAGACTTTAGTATATAGATATGTTGCGTATAGCCGGCCAAACGGCTAGACCGATTGGGCTTAATTTTTTTGTGGACATTCATGGCTGGCCGGGGGATGTTATAGGTTAAAAAATAATTTGGAATGTTTTTTTTAAAATATTTTCTTTGTTTAAAATTTTTTTCTCAAAACTTTTTTTCCACGGGCAACGCCGGGCCCTTCAACTAGTAACATATATTTTTCAGATTATTTCTGGAACAGAACACGGAGGGTAATCTATAGATATCTACAATTGAAGATAATAAATTTTGTCAGAGAAACTTATGGATGTCTCATGCATTCTTGATTAATTAAAGGTTTAAGGGTACCATCATGAATCAGACCCTTTTTAAATAGAAGGTCACTTGAAATTACAACATGCAGTCCCTTCAAGCATTAAATTCTTAAAAATGGAGAAAGGTTTCCACAAATAAAAATGCCACTTGATAAATTGACTGACCGGCAGCGGCGAGATATATTGATATATTATCTGACCGGCAGCGGCAGATATATTGATATATTAATTGACCGGCAGCGGCTAGATATATTGATATATTAACTGACCGGCAGCGACTAGATATATTGATATATTGACTGACCGGCAGCGGCTAGATATATTGATATATTAACTGACCGGCAGCGGCTAGATATATTGATATATTAACTGTCCGGCAGTGGTTAGATATATTGATATATTAACTGACCGGGAGCGACTAGATATATTGATATATTATCTGACCGGCAGCGGCTAAATATATTGATATATTAACTGACCGGCAGCGGCTAGATATATTGATATATCAACTGTCCGGCAGCGGCTAGATATATTGATACATTATCTGAAATGCAGCGGCTAGATATATTGATATATTATCTGACCGGCAGCGACTAGGCATCAACCGTATTTTTCTTATAATTTAGTGACAATTACTCGGTTGTGAATTTTGGTGAAATGTTAGAGCGAAGGCATTAATACAAATTGATTATCTTTAAGTTATTTAAGAATGTGCTAGTTCTGGCTCTGATTTCATTGGCGTTCAAGAGTTAAACTTAAAACCAAGTTATTGAAAAAAATTATCTTTTTGGAAAAATAAAAAGATTTATATTAAACTCTCTATTTCAGTAAAAAATTAAAAGCTGGAATGGCTTTAGTGAGGGTGCCCCCCCCCCGCCGTTAGCTAAGGGGGGGGGGGGGGGGGTTAACCAATCAAATACAGCAGTTCTGCTCTTTTATCAAATCCCTGACAGTTTCATATTACTCTTTTAGATACACTTCCTATTCCCTCCTCCCTGGGGAAAAAGGGGACATCCCCCCACCTGGAGGGGAAATCCTTGGGGGAGGGGGGGGGGGGCAATTATTCCCTGGTGTTTTGGGTAATGTTGCGTAACGCCGGGGCCGCCAAAAAATATCGATTTGGCGCGGATTCATTTTATCATTTTCCTGATATTTATAATAAACGGAATACAGGATTGTTAAAACAATAAGTTGTATTTGTTAAGAAAATATTGAGGACGTTTGAATTTCTTCTTTTATTTAATGTTTCAACTAGTTCTTGCAATAATTATAAATTCCAACTTTGAGCCAAGTTAAAAATATCCAGTTTAAGAGGTTTCGTGAGTTTATTCTTTAAACTCTTAAATATCTAGATAAACTCAATTGATTTGAATTTTCCACTTATTTAATCAGATGTCGAATCATGGTTAAACTTTTCAAAAAGCACTAATCCGTTTTGATTTTTAATCCACAGATTAACTTAGTCCGCGGATTAATTAGATAAAGAAACGGATTTGTGTAGCAGATATGATCATACAATAATTCAGAAAACCATTCAAATAAAACATTTTCTTCACGCTAAAAATTTCGGCCTCAGATTTTAAACTTTTGCATTTACAAAACTGATTTAATCAGTTTAAATAGTTTGAACTCATTCTCTACTCTTTAATTGACTGTGAAATTTGAAATAATGAATGGTATAAGTAATTGATCTCATTCCATGCTGATATTAAGGAATCAAGCATTTATCCTCAAATTTAAATGTACCCACATTGGATATCGAGATCAGGTGTTCATAATTAACGATAAATCTAAACCTATATTATTCTTATTTTGTAAAGGATAAATTTTTTTGAATTTAGCATTTTCCATCCTACTATGGATTATATTTATTCGTTCAATAAAGAATAAACTCCCTTATAAATAAAATCAGAAAGCTAAGGAAGGTTGGTGGGGGGCGGTCAATTTTTATAAGTTGATATAAGAATGTCTGTTAGCTCCTTTAGAGGGAAAAAATTGAGGGTAATTCAGAAGGGGGGGGGGTGAAATTGAAAAGATGATAGATATATCTGATTAAATGAACTGCAGTTGTTCTAAATTAAAGTGACCTTCTGTTGAAAGAATGTCGAGTGCACCATTCACATGGAGTTAATCTTGTCAAGTGCTTAATTCTCACATTTTCCTCCATTATTTCTGTAGCAATTGAACTCAGCAAGTCAGATTATATGCAGATAAACAGCAGTTGAAAAAATTATAAATTTTAAAAATCAGTTTTCTCAGAATCGGACTAGTCACTCTATAAATGGAGAGTCTCTGTATTGTCCTTTTCAGGGTAAATATTGCCCCTGACATTGGTGTTATAAGATTACTGTTTTAGAACACAAAAACAGGGTCTTATCCATTTTTGAATACAAATATAAAACATTTAACAATGGGGGATAAATATTTTATTTTCCAATATTTGTAACCAAAGTTCATCCGGCCGATATGTTTTATTCATAGGAAGCTTTTCAGGGTTTTAACATTGATAAATGATTTTGCGTTCTGTCACAGTAGCAACTAAAAAAATTGCTAAATATTATTTAATCATAAAAGAATTTTTCCTCTCTCAAATAAAATCTAACTTTCTTATTTGATTTTAATATTTTTTTTTGATCTCTTCCAAGTTCCCTTTTCTGAATTCTTAACGAACCACATGTCAAGGGGGGAATTCATCAAATTAAAAAGGAAAGATTCTCAAACAAAATTTATTGATTTTTTTTTCATGTGTAAAATTATTCAAAGCTAGTTTTAGTTACAGTTTGGATTAGTTTTAAAATTTTAAATTTTTTGCAGTTTTGGACTCACGTAATTTTTTTGGATACATACAAAATACACGCGTTAGTAATTGTAAATTTAGCCAAAAGCATTCAATGTGAGAACGCGTCAACCTAGTTGCTCCAGCTAGCCTTTCCTTCAGAGCTAAAACAACTATATTGACCCCTGGCGTATGTCTTCCTGTGTAGTTGGTGTACTGTACAAACTAGGGCCGTAAAGGTTTAGGTTGAACACCTCAGATTTAAATGTACATGAGTTGAGTGTGAATATTTGGAATAAATAAATATACAAAGAATGATGTCGCACTGCAGTGCGACCTCAATAATACAAAGGTTGCAATAAAACTAATTTTAGATTTTTAATGAATTAAGATTTTTTTTTAGTATAACGACTTATATCATATTCTTATTGTTCCGTCAAGTTTTAGGTACAATTTCTATAATAAAACAGGTCTAAATAATCATTTTCATCATATTAATCCGTTAGATTTTAAGGATATCCATGGCAAGATATAAATAAAAATCTGCGAGTTTCTCATCAGACACGTACAAAATTTTATAAAGACTATTAACAAGGAAACGTATGCCGTAGACTCCTATTTCTGGCATAGAGTATATTTTTACGATTACATAAATTATAAAGCATTTTTGATTTGTTTGTAAAAATGTTAAATGAGCGATTTTAAGATTCACATATTTATTTCATAAAGTGATTAAATACTAAGCACAAACTTAATTAATTATATGATTGTAATACATACTTATTATTAATTTCATAACATAAAAATATGAGTTTACATATTTAGTATCTTCTACAGACTACAGAGCCCCAGAGCAGGTCTGAAGGTATCTTATAACAGCAGCAATATCACAGCTACCCTCACCAGACAATGCTGTTGTTGTTGTAGTAGTAGTAGTAGTGGTTGTTGTTGTAGTACTCGTGGTTGTTGTTGTTGGGAATGGGAATGGTAGAAATGTTGTGGTAGTTGCTTCTGTAGTAGATTCAGCTGTAGCAGTTGTTGGTTTAGAACTGGTTGTAAGTTTGGTTGTGACTGGAGGTTCTGAAGTTGCAGGAAGGTAGCTGTAACTACACAATCCGTCCTGGCAGGTTGTGTCCGGGGGACATTTCGAGCAGGCTTTGCCGGTCAACATAATAGGACTGTTCAGATAGTTCCCAGCAGGTCCGTAGTTGCAAATGTAGTAGCCTAAAACATTTTTCTAAAATGTACAACCAAAAAAAAATTTCTTTAAGAATAACAAAACCAGATTTACTAAAATATGCCAAGGAGCCTTTACATCTTTGCATGTTGTATTATCATATTTTATCATTATTATTATCAAAAATCCTATTTTTAAATTTAATTTTGCTTTTTTCACAAACCTGAGTTGAGCCCTGTAGATCCTAGGTATCCTTTAAACGATACAAAAGCGCATCCGATAAATCTAAAAACATCTTTATCTGTATTACCCACTTACTATGAATTATAATTGGTTCCAGCTCACGAAAAAAAATATCAAAACCTCAAAACCCCCCCCCCCCTAATTTTTTTCAACCCAACCTGTCACGGTTATGTTCCCTCCTAACCCCCCCCCCTCCATCAGATAAAAAAATCTTCTATAGGACCAAAAACATCGATGTTCAAGCCCCTTCATGCAAGGATGCAATTCCCAATTCTGAACGTTGCCCTTAAAAACTTAGTCAGATTAAGTAATGAATTAGATATCAATGTTTTTGTTTATTTAGACTGTTAATTTTCATTTGAGGGTACACTGCCAAATGATTTGCGCATTTCTTGCTGATAAGAAGCAATGGAGAAATTCAAAGAAATAAACATTTTTCTAAACCTTAATATGTCCCCCCTCCGTCAGGGTTAGGTTTTCGGGATCAAGATCAAGCATTAATCTCCCTCATATTAAGCATTTATCCTCAAATTTGAAAGTGTCCGCACTGTATATCGAGATCAAGTGTTCAAGATACTCTGCTCTGAACTATACCTGGTTTCTGCCCAGACCATCTGTGTAAAGTGTCCAACCCCCTGCATATTCGCAAATATCAGATTACCAGGGTTTCCTCTAAGCAATCAATCATTTAGTCAATTGGACAATCAATCAATTTTACTGGTAAAAATGAAGACATGTGCTGGACCTTTTTCTGTTTAACACATGTTACTATAAGGGCAGAGCCCGCGATTTGAAAACTTCCACTCGAGCCATAATTCCTTAAACCCGAGTTTAAGACCCAATCATCCACCCAACTCTGACGACAGCTTGCGTCACATGATTGACAGCTGCAAGATCTTCGGATCAACTTAGGAGTTAGGCCCAATGAAAATAAATCCGACCTTGGTTGGTTTTAGTGGAGAAAAAGGGTCAATGTTGAGTATTGTTCTCATAAAAACCCGGAATGCGTCAATTCCTACCATGAAAATCCGCCAAATGGAATATTAAACTGGTTTTTTTTAACTCAAAAACTTTAGCCACATTTCATAGTCTTCAGAAAGAATGATAATATTTTCTGGTTCTCAATGTGAACATTTTTTTTAGTTTTTTGGCGTTTTTAAAACTATACTATTATGATTCATCAAAAACTGAAAAAATCATTTCTTAAACAATGTCCAAATATGAAACCAATGATTTTAGAAAAAGATGAATTTATTCAACACCTAAATTGGAAGACCTCTGTGTACCAACTATCCATTGCCTTTGTCCAGTTTGCTTGAGGGGTTCCACGGCTCCCTTCTATATATAAGTTCTGTCCAACCTAAACAGGGGGAAAAATAAAAATAAATGTTCTTATTTTTTCTATGAAAACTATTCTATCCTGTACAGAGTTTTAACATAATATAATTTCAAGTGACCATCAATCACAAACGGGTACCCGTTAAACCGGTGTCAGATTAAGTATATATGAGATATCCTTAATTTTCTAAGCAATAATAGATAATTTCCAATTGTGGTTTCCCTGTGAAAGTGACTCGGACAGGCAGAATCTTTAGAGACAACTGTACAACAATTTTTTTCACATTCACAGGTCTCTCCAACTCTCAAATTGTTTCTTTTTTTGCCAAATCATTCAGATAAAGTAATTTTTAAAACAGAAATGCTCAGTTCGTCATATTAAACAATATTAGGTCGTCTTCGTCATATTAAACAATATTAGGTCGTCATATTAAACGAATTTATGTCGTTATTAAAGTCTTATTCTTTGTGAGTAACTCTGATAATTAACCAGGATTGTTTACCTTAAACCTACAGATATCATTAATATCATGCTGAAACTGACACTGTGCTGCCCACAACTCTGACCCACGCGCTAGCTCATCATCCCACTCCAGGGTCATCATGTTGGCGCCAGTATACCTGGTAAATAAATAGTAGAATACTTTAGTTACTAAAAATGTTAAGGTTAGTTTAAGACTTTTAAGTTTTCAAATCATTTAATTTACAAATTTTTATTTTCATCTCAGAGCGAAATTTTTGTTTGGTATAAAAGAGCTTAATAGCTTCGATATCCACAATGATTAATTAAATTCAAAGAGTTAAGTTTATTTCCGAGAATATACTGTAAATCGACGAAAAGATTTTTGAGAAAGGATTCAAAGGTAAGTAAGGTATTCAGCTTCTACAAGGTTGAACCGTCGAAAGGGATAGGACAGAACTCGTATATTTTGAGCGCTCAAGGCATAGATTTAAGATACAAAAGTTTCGTCCTCTGATGATGTTTTAAAGATTAGTTGTCACTAGATTCATAAATGCACTTTTGTTGATAGTTAGTTGAACCCCGTAGCCTGGGTGAAGCTGAAGATGAGTGGTTTAATCTAGACTACGCAGTTCAACTATGTCTCTTTATTCATTAAATCTGGTCCCTTAATTATTAAGGTTAATCTCTACCTGAAATTCGGATCAACTCCATTAGCAATATCTCTCCTAATCCGGTTGTGCCCATCCAAAATTGCTTGCTGCTCCGTCTTATCAGATCCTATAAAAAGACGACATTTTACTTATTTTGTATTAAAAAAATATATATTTTCTATTTACCAAGTCTGTAAATCTCAAGACAGGTGGGAGATTGCTTCAAGTATTTGCAGTAAGTATTATCCCTTGTTACCCGACCATTTATTCGGCAATAGTCACAATCCTAAAAAAAGGTTCTGTAATCACAGTGACAGTGCCTATTTTTTGTGATTTCTTGACCATTGATATGGCAAGAATCACATTTCTAAAACAGATTTTTAAAGTAAATATTATTTGTGAATCTTCGACGATTGGCCCGGCAATAATCACAATTTTTACAGAATTCCAATTATTTATGATCCCTCGCAATAATTGCAGTTAGATGGTTCCTATTTCTTTGTGATTTCTTGACCATTGATATGGCAAGAATCACATTTATAAAACAGATTTTTAAAGCAAATATTATTTGTGATTTTTCGCCCCTCGGCCCGGCAATAATCACAATTTGAGTAAACTTTTTTTTAGCTACTCGATCATCGATATTGCAAGGAATCACATTTCTAAAACAGAATTTTACGGTATATATGTTTTTTTTTATTGACCATTGATAAAACAATAATCCCAACTACAAAAGAACATTTTTACAATACATAATAGTCACGCACCTCTGCCCCTTTAGCAAAAGTGAATTTAACCTTTATGAGGCATAAATTCTGACCAAGTTAACCTTAATGCACCGGCTAGTCCTGTCCATAGAGCTAGTTACAAACTGGGACCGGAAAGGTTGACCTGGCTCGGAAATTCAAATGTACTACGGCTGCCTGTGTAGTATAAAACATTAGATTTCTGCTAAATTCTTGTAATCTTGACACTTTATATATATTTGTTATAAAAGTTTTAAACTAATTTATTCTAAGGGTAAAACCAACAGCAATTTCTTCTTTTTTCCTTTTCTGTGTACTTTATAAATTATTTGAAAAACTTTTAAAAATAGGTGAAATTACTCAAAAATGTCTTGCAAAGCTGACTCAAGATTAGCATAAACCCTTTTCCAAAAGAAGCTGTAAATAAAAATTTAAAATTCGGCGATGGTGATGGACCAAACCTCTGTAGAGTAAAAAAGTAGATGTTAGTTCCACATTTATTGAAAATATATTTCAGTCTGGGTTGACCCTCGTCAGTTCTAACGATATAATAACCATCAAAATCGAAAAAAAATTGAAATATGTAAGAAATCACAAGAAGATAAACAAAACAAAAAAGATTATTCAAAATAAAAATTTGGGCTGTCAAATGGACATAAGGGAAGCAAACTCAGATTATGAGATGGAAAAAAGATAATTTGCAAATATTCACTTTAAAAAAAATTGTTTTAAGACAATTATTAAAATAAAAATGCACTTTTTAGTAGATTGGTCCTTGGTTAAAATAAAAAGCTTATATTTGACTTGAAACATACCTGTGTGTTTACAACGGCACTGTACAATACAAGGATAATTAAGATTGTATACATGATTAAAAAGACGAAAGTTTAATGTTTACTGACTGGTTGATTTAAAGTTGCTTGGGTTATATACCATAGTTAGATAACATATCAGCAGTCAGGGTCAATAAACCCAGTGTTTGACCGGAAGATTTATAGCTGGCTTTAGGGTTAATTGATAAGCTCTATCCCCTGGCCCCAATGTTTTGTTGACTAGACCCCCCCCCCCGCATAGAAAAGGTAGAGATAGGGTTAAAAAATTATTTGCCATAAGAAAACTAAAAAAAATGTAAACTTTTAATTATTTAACAGTTAAAAGTTTGCAAGAAATAACAAGTCGTGTACTTTAATCTCAGTTTCTTCAAGCTTTGAAAACTATTTAGCACTTCTATTTTAACATATAAAAAATAGTCTTTTGAAAAATCAAAAAATTTATTTCAAAATAAGGTTTTGGCCTATCCATGGAGCCAAGTTGCAATTTTTCAAAGAGAATTTATATAACTGAAACCATATCGATTGTAAAAGCTTCAGATTTAAGCAGGGCTGTCTTTCTATTGTTAAATGACCCTCCATTTAAAGAGGAGCATGCACTACAGTACCCTCAAACCTTTATCTTATAGTTGATGTGGAAGATATTGTCGGTTTTCATCTTGGAAAGTATTTATTTCTGACAATATTATCCAATGTTCTGCAAGTAACTTTTTAGGAAACCAAATTTGATAATCAACAATTTTAAAAGTTTGAATATAATATAAATTCTTGACCATACAAAGTTTTAAAGGGTACCATGGGAATCGGAGACTCCACTTATTAAAAGAAGATTCACTTAAAATTACGTCTACATGGTCCCTGTAAAGGGACTGTATGCGTTATTTCAAGTGGACCTTCATGCTTAGATGGAAATGTCCGATTTACAACGGGTTCCCACAGGTTCCCATTTAAACCTTAACTCTAATATAAAAGGTTGAATATATAATATTGTTTTTATATAAAGGATATATTTCTTATACGCAATTAATGCGCAAGTTACTTTTGATGTAAACCACAAATGAAAATAAACTATTTCAGGCACAAAAACATGGATAATTAATTCAGACATGATCAAACAATGCTGTTAGGGAAACCACGGAAATCGGACATTGCCATCTTATAATGGAGAGTTACCATCTTATTATGGAGAGTTACCATCTCATTATGGAGAGTTATCATCTTATTATGGAGAGTTACTTGAACATACGATTACAGTTAATTCCTTTCAGCTGACAGAGAAATACAATGATTTTACACCATCACGCATCATTGCTTAATCTGTTTCAGCTGTAAAATATACATTAGACAAATAGGTTTGCGTAAAGTTTAACAAAAGGGCGAGTGTGCCAAATATTCCCTTGAGCCTCGTATACTTAAATTATCTGGAACTAAACGTGTCAGTTATGTCACCCCACACTGTTTAGATAAGGTTAATCTATCTATCTAACCAACCATACGGTAGCCCCCCCCCCCTTGACTTTACATTCAAAAATTGAAATATTCTTGTATATTGTCCAAAAGAAGAATAAATTACAAGTGAAATTGAAATATTTAAATTGCAAGTGAAATTGAAATATTTAAATTGCAAGTGAAATTGAAATATTTAAATTATTATATTATAAAGATTTATTCACACACAAAGATATAAATACATATATAAATGGTGTAGTTAAAATTTGTTTAAATAATATTTAAATTGCAAGCGAGATTAGAATATTTAAATTGCAAGTGAGATTGAAATATTTAAATTGCAAGTGAGATTGAAATATTTAAATTGCAAGCGAGATGAAATATTTAAATTGCAAGTGAGATTGAAATATTTAAATTGCAAGTAAAATTGAAATATTTAAATTGCAAGTGAAATTGAAATATTTAAATTGCAAGTGAAATTGAAATATTTAAATTGCAACTGGAATTGAAATATTTAAATTGCAAGTGAGATTAGAATATTTAAATTGCAAGTGAGATTGAAATATTTAAACTGCAAGTAAAATTGAAATATTTAAATTGCAAGTTAAATTGAAATATTTAAATTGCAAGTGAGCTTGAAATATGTTTTGTTTTCCATCAGATCTTCTCTAATTGAAGATATTTTAAGAAGTTTTGAATGTTTTAAATTTCAAATAAATTAACTTTTTCATCCTTGTGCGTAAGATTAACACTAGAGGAGCTACGAGGTCCCAAAGTCGTGCCAATAATGTGGCATAACTTTTACCTTCTCCTCTGCTGTGACATGTTAGATAAGGAACTACAGGATTAAAATAATAATTCGTGAATTTTTATTGAAAGTTTTACGCGTTTGCAACGTTTTTAAGAGAGTTAATTTTTTGTTGTGAAATGTAGATAGAAATAGGATGTGTTCGATACATATAACTTTAAGTTATCATAACTGTTCCCATTCAGGCCTCACAGAAATAAGCGGTTTTTGACTCTGAAAAAGAATTTAATTTTTAAAATCTAATCGACAAAATTGTTTAAATGAAAAAATGCAAATTTAAAATTCGGTGATGGTGATGGACCAAACCTCTGAAGAGTAAAAAAGTTTATGTTAGTTCCACATTTATTGAGAATATATTTCGGTCAGTTCTAACGATATAATAACCATCAAAATCGATAAAAAAATATAAAAATGTTTGTTAAAAATTACAAGAAAATATACAAACAAAAAAGATTATTCAAAATAAAAATTTGGACAAACGAACTCAGATTATGAGATGGAAAAAAGATAATTGGAAAATATGTAAAATTTAGAATTATTAGGACAGTTTGAAATTGATGGATTTTATACTATTTTGAGGAAAGATATTTAGATCAATGATTATTTCGATATTTTATTTTTGATTTCAAATATTACCTGACCTGGGAACTCTTGTATACTGTGGATATCGATATCAATGCTTGAACTCGATCTTTTGTTAATCTACAGATTAATTTAATCTTTATTCAATATCTCGCATGGTAATCTTACCCTGCTGGAATGACTGAAGTTAAGAGATTGATTCTCAAATTGAAAGTGCCCACAGCGGATATTAAGATCGAGCGATCGGGATAAAGATTCAGGCTCTGCCTCCAAAAATTATTCAAAATTAACCGAGATCGTACAGTTCAACCCTAAATGATACATACATCGAAAGAATTTGTCAAATGCCGTCTTGACAATTTTTCATTTTTACGTAAACCACAGTATTTGCGAAAATAAATAAATAGCCATGAATATGCGGAAACAGTTTTAAAGAGCTCCATATTAAAATTTTATTAAATAACTAGATATCTGCAACATTTCATTCATTTGAAGCATGGCTCATTTAAGGTTTAACTGTATATTATTTTTTTAGATACTTCAATCCTATTTAATCAGTAGAACCCATCAAACTGTGCAGGAAGACGATTATAATTAGGCAAATGAAAGCTGTTAAAAAATATTCAGCAAGAATAAAACACGTTAAAAAGAACATAAAAGTAAGACTCCTGAGATGTCGTCTTCCCGTATACAGCTTTATATGGCTCCCCACTCACCCTGTATATATTTAGAAACCGAATTATTTAAATATCGATATCACCGTTGCTTCAGCAATATACAAAGATTGAAGAGCACAATTTAGAACTTGCTCTTCTTTAGGGCTTTTTTGTCAATCCAATTTAAAACACAATCATTTAGTATTTTTTATTCTTATTTGTAGGCTTAGTAGAACTTTGTAGAGCGCTGTTCATGTGTAGTTCCATTAGCTTCTTGGGGAGAAGTATTTTATTTATTAATTTGTTAGAATCCAATTCAAATGAAGCAGAAGACGACATTTAACGAGTTCCTTTAGTCAATTTCCTTTCTTACACATAAGATACAAAGAATGAGAATTCAGAGACGATTCTAATGAGCGGGGGAAGGCAGGCGGCCATGAGCCACCACTATTTCCCCTTCCGTACCACATATTAGCTTTTTTCTCTTCCGGCAGCCATGAGCCACCACTATTTCCCCTTCCGTACCACCACATTTGACTCTTCCGGGCAAAACTATTTTTTAAATGGTATATTTAGGGCCTTTAAAGTGTGATTTTTAAAAATCTAGCCGCGTCAACCAAAAAAGCACAACTCAAATCATTTTTTCAATTCTATTTAAAATTAATATTTTGTGTGTTGAATTCTTAAACTGTTTTACAATGAAATTTTTTGACAAATTTGACCGAGTATTGCATCTTGAAATATCACAAAGTCTAATGATAATTGGTTAATGAGTGATTTTAAGATGGATTTAGTATAATGAGTCAGTAATTGAATATTCATTAGACTTTGTGATATTTCAAGATGCAATACTCGGTAAAATTTGTCAAAAATTTCATTGTAAAACAGTTTAAGAATACAACACACAAAATATTAATTATTAATTAAAAATGCCCAAAAACAAAAATTGCTCGAAATCTGATAAGTTATACAATTTTGAAAAGTCCTTACGGTGAATTCAAATATGATGGGCATTAGAAAATTAGAAAATTCAAAAATGTTAACAGCCTCACACCAATAATTTTTGAGTTAGTGCGTTGTAAAACAATTAAAAAATTTTTTATTTAATCTAAAATTTTTCAATTTTGCATTTACATAAATTAATATAGATGATATAAAGAAATACTGCGTAAAATAGAATTATAATCTCGTCTATATCTATCTATCTATCTATAAAATACATATCTATCTATCTATCAAAAGGACCGGTTCTATGCCTGTGTATACTATGTGGTATAAAACAGGCAAATAGGCTTAGTAACTTAGTTTAGTCTAGCTAGGCACTCCACAGTCTATTGTGAACATATGCGCGGATCAATGTAAAGCTGTTTAAGCAAGTGAATCACCGTTTAAACCAACTTAATTCCGCATTTATAAAAAAAAAATATTATCCTTCCAATTTAACATTTAGACAATATGGTGTGTTAGGGTTTATACAGTTTAGAATCTAAACATTTTTTTTTATGTGTTTGATAACAGAAAATTAAAAATGAGTCATGGTTTTGTTTTTAGACTTAGGA